TTATTTATATAAATATATATTTATTTATAAATATGTATGTGTATATATATACATATATATTTAAATATATTTATTTTTATTTTTAATTTCATTTATATATATATGTATGTATATATGTATATGTATATATATAGGTGTGAGTTGTGCGGTGCCAGAGTACGGATATGTGTTTCTGAGGCATACGTATATATTATTATCTTGGTGAATATTGTTTAGAGATAGTCCTGTAGATTGGCATCTGTTGATTGAGTATAAGTAGACTATATCTATATGGGAGTGTATCTTTTCGAGACAGGAATTCTGGATATAAATATCAAGTTATCTTCCCTTATGGAAAGTGCGTATGGGATAACGCTCAACTGCTTTCACCCCACTTCAATTGTCTATTATAGCACCATCAGGTCGAAGTGACGATGCTAATTTGACATCAGCCAGGATTGAAACGACTGTTCAAAATTTTGTTAAACAAAATATGGAGTTGCAGGATGAGACAAAATGGAGAGAATTGAGGTTCACGTCTTTGGTCATGAAAGCGAGGGTATGCGAGTGTAGTGCTAAATTTTATTCTGAATATATGCTAAATTCACATAGACATACGCGTGGTGTCCAATAATTGTCAGTATCGCTGCTCTTATTACGCGTCTCGTTTATGATAGATTTCAGATTTCATTTTGAGATGTCAAATTTTTTTTTTATGGGAAAAGCAGAGGGCGTACTCCATGATACGTGATGATATTCGTTGAGAATTTATGCAGCATTATCATTTTTATGCAATTGACAGATGCTGCGACTTTGCCGATCTTCGTTCCATCGCCTGCATATTGCCAACGCCAACTTGAATTCACTCAATACCGTAGACGATGTCGTGCGGCATCTGCAGGCACTGAATGAGAAGCCTGTGAAGCTACCCGTCTTCATGTCGCTTGACTTACAAAACTTGCCAGAAAATCTCACTATTGAAGTATAACTGCTAAAAAGCTCCCCAAGTAAAAGAAATACGGACTTTTCCTATACGATTAGACAAATCAGCATAACTACAACAACCGGCTCGCCTTCAGAGTAGATGCTTTTTAAATATACAGGAAGCTATTTTAATTTTGGATATGAACAACTAGATTTCGACAACTAAAACATTGATTGGAAATTGTAGATGTGGTATTGAATATTGTTCTGGGGTTTGCCACGACAAATGATTGGTTCATACCAACGTGCTACAAAAAGGCGTGCATACATGCTATTCCCATACTAGTCTTTGATTGACAACATGCAGTCTCAATACATTTGTTCAGTCGACTCATGATCATACCGTAACAATTCACACGGTGGGCTTGCTCGTCATATTACGTAAAGATGATATCCTTTGTGCATATTAGTGATATTCTAAAAAAATTTACCATTCCCACGATTTATATTATGTGATTATCTATTTTACCGAACGATGCACCGTATCTGTTTCGTCTCTGAATTCATATTCATATTTTTCAATTTATAATATTTTCTTGTCGTCTCCATCGGGTCTGTGTGATACAAACATATCAAAGTAAGCGAGACTTGTACTAGTTCAAGAATGTGGAGAGACGTTTCTCTCTATTGCCTCGAGACATTAAATTACACACAATATCTATATGGCTCAAATAATTTTTCTCCGGTGTTAGGTAACTCGTAATTTTTGAGTGAAGTGTTCACAAATGAAGAAAACACACATCGGGACCGAAGCGACACTGTACACATCACGTCATTCAGAGGTTTCATCTGGAGAAGTAAAACCGTTGAGCATCCTACTTAAAATATCGAGGAACATTCAGAAACCACGAATTGCATAACACTTACGCATCGGTCGCTAAAGTGTTATCCAGGTATACTTGGGCTAAGCTCGATTTCCGCCTAATTGGATTCTTAAGTCGTTTCTCTTTCATTTTTCTTTCCCTTATTTCCTTTTCTCTGATATCCTCCTTATCCTCACCCTGTATCACCTATAGATATGGTACAGATGTATTTAAACCACATACAATAGTTCATGAATCTAAAAATGCACAACGCTCTAGAGGCTCGCAGTTGAATAGACGGGATTGGCGATTGGAGATCGACGAACAAAAGGTGTACCTAGACAACCAGCTTACCTTGATTACCACCTTGAGGATTAGGGCGAACCATATATAGTGCAGTACGAGTAGCACATGTAGCAGGAGGTTAAACGTAAGATAAAGATGAGGAGGGTCCACGTCCGTATAGTACACATATCCTGTGCCGTATAGAGTCTTCACCCCGAATAAATACAATCGAAAGTATACCCTGTATAAGAATGATAAAGTGGAAACCCGATAATGTAGGGCCGGCATAGAAGATGAGCAGATAGATAATAGTGGTTCATGCAATTCAATATCAGCAAACACACTTGAGATATTAAAAAAAGGCATCGAGCCAAGAAAAACAGAGAACGGAAGACATCCTCATGGTACAAACAGAAATTTCGATTGTACACAATGTTGATACGTGTTCTTGAACTGTGACTTACCAGCTGATCACAAAGGTAACGAAGAGACCATTTGATATGGCCTCGTATAGTTTTGTTAAGCCAAAACCTCTCCTCCCCAAGTAGTTGAATATTTTCGCACTGCAGAATATTAAATCATGCCCTGTTGAGTGCCAAACATGTATGTCAAAGAACCATTAAACCATCAATAAAGAAAAGGAACTGGTAAAGCGAAGCTTTCCGACTTACCTGTCAAGCCATATATCGCATGCATCATGACAATACAAAACTACAACTCCTGCGGGGAGGAAGTCCAGACTGTAACTGAATACGATTAATCCGATGGTGGCGGCATGATGGATCACCATCATCACTTTGTCCGTAAAAACCTGAAGAGCAAAGCAAGGTAATTTAAATATGATCTTAAAAAAAAAAGGAACAACTCGCAATTACACAGTGCTGTAGCATGCAATTTGTAACTTCACTTACCTTTTCAGTATTGAGATACCCGTCATTGATCACAGCCGATAAGTAGTAGCCCAACTCGACAATGTAAACCCACCACAATTCGTTTCGTGCTAGATCCGTCACTGAGTCACCAGGGTAGAATCACGTAGATTAGTTACAATGGCATTCGCTCACTGAGCCTATCAATACAAGATTTAAACAAATAAAACTTCATACAAACGGGGAATACGCATATGATTTCGCACTCATTGACTTTGGCATAGTCATTCGCTCACCGAGCCTATCAGCACACGGTTCGGGTATATAGTCAGAGGCCATTTCGAATATAAGTGGCAATTACATGTACAACAAAGGGCGAAATGTCAAAGTAACCCCCTGTGACTTACTTGGCGTATACCACGAATGCATGTCCGTGAGGTAGTTGTGTCTTTCCGTGAAGTGCAGTAGATAGCACATGTACGAGAACACAGATGAGTAAAAGACCACCGACCATAAGCTCTCTGGAACCTTTTTCACATCTTCTTCTCTCAATTTCATGCTATGGCCAGCAGACTTTTTTTGTTGGGTCAGGATAAGTAAACATAACGCAGGGTGAGCTTGAAATCCGGGGATGTTAAAGTTCGATTTTTGTACGATAAACATTTTCTCAAATTATGAAAATAGAAGCGCACAAAAACAACAACAGAGCCTTGTTAGCAAAACTATATGGTCCGAATGCTAAAGCGCCGGCAACTATATTCGATTGTATGCATGTAATACGGAATCCCTACGATAGAAAGACCTCGCCAGCGTCCAATATATATATATATATATGTATATATATATATACACCTATACAATACCTTGAACAATGTGTGATGAAGTGTGAAGCGTAACAACAACAAACAAGCCGCAGAGACCATGACACCGATGGCGTCCTCGACAGGAAAAGTGAACTCATTCCTGATGGTATCCAACGGAGGCTGGAAAAACGCTGAGTTTACGATGAACAAATCAAGGACAGGAAGAAAAGCGAGAGCGTAAGGATGAGAATGCATGCAATCTTATGCTCAGAAAAGGAGATCAATTTCTTGATGTAAATTGAGGATAAGTAGGTAACCTGGTGGTCAAGAGAGAATTGGTGGTGGCACAGTAAACATACGCTGCCGTCCTTCTCAGCATCACGATTGAAACATTCATTTTTCGATGGTGCCAATTGCGCTTCGAAGTATATGAATGCACAATGTATTACACCACATGGCTTCTACAATTAAGCTCGATAACAAATTGAACTGGAACTGAATCTGGCCGACACGTAAGCAGGCTTTCTAATTTAGAGCACTTAGTAGCAGAGAATGTAGAACATTTCCGGGCATAACATTTCTCCGCCCGTTGGAATTGAACCTCACGTAGTGTGGTGTACTTCGGATTGATATATATATATATATATATATATAATAAACTCACCTGATGTGCTGCTGAAGTCCTGTTCAAAAAACTTCCTGTAGAATGTTTGGGGCACTGTAGTACAGTAATTGCTGTAAAATTAAAATTGATTATGATGACTTTTAATGAGAATAACATGTATATGAGTCTTAAAAGAATATTGTATTGTTAAATGGTGATTTAATGAGAATAAAAGGAACATCCTAGAAACGCTACTTTTTTGGCACTCTTTGGCACTTCTCAAAATATAATAACACGAAAAACAGAACATCCCGATAACTAATATGCAGATTCGTCAGTCAAAATAGGTACGGAATTTCATGTCCAAATGAAATCACTATATGTACATACGACTGAATATATCGTAGAGAGATCAAATAAATGAGCAGAAAGTACATAACACAACACACACACATACACACCCACCCGCCCACCCACAATACATACATATACATACATATATATATATATATATATATATACATACATACACACACACACATACACACACACACACACACACACACACACACACACA